CTTCCTTCCTTCCTTCCTTCCTTCCTTCCTTCCTTCCTTCCTTCCTTCCTTCCTTCCTTCTCTCCTTTCCTTCCTTCCTTCCTAGACTCTGGAAGAGACTGAAAACTTGGCCCAATTCTGCTTCACTTAAATCCAAATCACGGGCCAGTCAAGACATCACCTCATGGTGTCACTGATCCTCTTCTAGAATGACAGCAAGCAAGGGGTTGCTGATGGACACTTCCTGGCTCTGTGACCCTGGGCAAGCCACTCCACCTCTGTCTGCTTCAATTTCCTCATCTGTAAAATGGGGATAATAACAGCATTTACTTCCAGGGTTGTTAGGAGGATCAAACGAGATAAATTTGTAAATCACTTTGTGAGCCTTAAAAGTTCTGTGTAAATATTCGATATTATTGTTAGAAGTCACAGGAAGGGGTCCAAGCACACTCAGCCCATCACCCCAGTTACATTGCACACTGGAACCTAACAACAGGTCTCTGAATTAGAGGTGCAGCTGTGATTAGTCCCATTTTACAGCTGGGAGCCCCGAGGCCCAGAGAGGGCAAGTCACTTGTCCAAGGCCACGCTGCGAAGTGGCCAAGCCAGGACTTCTGATTCCCACTTCAGAGCCCTCTCCACGCGCTGGCTGAACAAGGAATAATTAAAAACACCTGTGTTAGAACTGGTGAGAATGCACGCCCGGCCGGCCCAGAAACACAGCCGGCAGGGGACGAGGCCTGGGCAAAGGCACCAGGGAAACTGAAAAGTGGGGGTGGGCGGTGAGGATCCCATGCTTGCACGCAGCTCAGAGAAGCAAGGAAAACGGAGTCCCCAGGGAGCTCCCACCTCTGCTCCTGGATCGCGGCCCCTGGCCTGCCCAGTGCCAGCCTCGCTCTGCAGCCAGAGGCGTCAGCCTAGCTCGGCACCAGCCCCAGCCCCAGCTGCCATCTTTGGGCGGGGAGGGCATGTCCTGGCAGAGCCCAGGCCGGGGGCGAGGGGTGGCAGGAACCACTTTTTGCATTTTTTATTTTTATTTTTATTTTATTCCCCAGTGCTTAGAACGGTGCCTGGCACACAGTGGGCACTTAATATGTTTTCTGACTTAATCTGACTGTTCAAGGACAGGTTGGACCAGATGCCCTCTGAGGTCCCGAGTTAGAAAGCCAGGGTCAAATCCCGACTTTGGTGATCCTGGGCAAGTCCCTGCCCAGCTTCCAGACTCAGTTTCCCCTCTGTAAAATGGGGAGAATACCTCTGAGGGCGGTTGCCGGGGCTCCCCCGACTCCCAGGGTTTGCTTTCATGTGCACTGACCCATCCTTCCCCTCTTCTCCCCATCACAAACGACTTCATCATCTGGCTCGTGATGACACACTGCTCCCCTGCCGGCGATTCTCCAGACATGATGCTCCATCTCCCATCTCCGGGCCTTTGCCCTGGCCGTCCTCCATGCCCGGAATGCCCTCCCTGCTCATCTTTGTTGTGGTTTCAGTCGTGCCAGGCTCTTCGTGACCCACTGGGGGTTTTCTTGGCACAGGTGCTGGAGCGGTTTGCCATTTCGTTCTCCAGCTCGTCTTACAGATGAGGGCACTGAAGCCAACAGGGTGAAGCGAGTTGCCCAGGGTCACCCAGCCTGCCTCCAGGGCCGGCGCTCTGCGCACCATGGCGCCACCTAGCGGCCCCTCGTCAACGCTCCCAGGAAATCGCTTCGCACTTGATATTTTTGTGCTCGAGGAATGTAAGTTCCTCGAGGGCCGCCCCGCCCCGCACACAGTAAGTGCTCAGCACCTTTAGTAAATTACGGCCTTCTCCGGCTCCTAGAAGGAAGCTGGGAGGCGGGCAGGGGGCGGGGCCTCGGGGAAGAGGCGGGCTCTAACTGCCGAGGGCGGGTTGGTGCGGGCTAGGAGGGGTGGAGCCGCTCCTTTGCGGAGCTGCGGCTGCGCAAAAGGGCTCCAAGCTTCCCGAGTACGGGCAGGGAGAGGGGCAGCCTGTTTGTGGGCCCGCGCCTGCGCAGAAGGCTACGGAGGCGGCGGGGCAGTGCCGCGCAGCCGCAGGCGGACCCGAACCCTCTTGAGAGGAGGCGGGGCAGCCTCGCTGTGGCGCTGCGCCTGCGCAGTGATGCGCGCGGCTCGCGCCGGGCCCTCGACCGTCGCCATGGAGCGCTACGCCGGGGGTTACGAGGAGGCGGCGGATGGCGCCCGGCAGCAGGAGCGGCACTACCAGCTGCTGTCGGCGCTGCAGGGGCTCGTCAAGGAGCTGCCCAGGTGAGCGCGGGCCCGACCTCCGAGCCCAGAGCCGAGGCCCTCCAGAGCTCGGCCTCTGACCCCGCTCTTGCGGCCTGTTCTCCCCCGCAGCTCCTTCCAGCAGCGTTTGTCCCACGCCACCCTCAGCGACCTGGCCCTGGTGCTGATCGACGGCACGGTGTTTGAGATCGTTCAGGGGCTGCTGGAAATCCAGCACCTCACCGAGAAGAGCCTGTACAACCAGCGGCTCAAGCTGCAGAGCGAGCACCGAGGCGAGCGGCCGGGCCGGCCGGGCCGGGGGTGGGGTGGGGGCGGGGCGTCCTTCCCTGGCTCTTCCCTGGCCCCTCCCCCCCCGGGGCTTCACCGGCCGGGGCACCGGCCTGACCCCGGCCCTCGGCCTCTCTTCCTCCCGCAGTGCTCAAGCAGACCCTGCTGACCAAACACAAGGAGGCCCAGCAGGCCTGCCGGCCGCACAACCTGCCCCTGCTGCGGGCGGCCCAGCAGCGCGAGCAGGAGGTGAGCGGCCTGCGAGGACAGGGCGGGTCCAGGCCGCTTCTGGAACCCCACGGGGTTCCGGACTGTTGTGGGTCGTGGTGGGAGGGGTCCGGAGCGGGGTCACATCCCATTTCGGTTCCTTCTTCTGCCACCAGCATGTGGTGGGACCTTCCCTCCCTGGGCCTCGACCTCCCCATCTGTACGACTTGGAAGGTCCTGCCTGGCCTGGGCAGTCATCTACGTGCAGTTTGATTGGGTTCCCTGCCCTCCCCCGTCCTTCCTGGGCTCAGAGCCATTGGGCCCGGCTGCATCCGGCCGCCTTTTCACCGGTCAGTGACTTCTCTGACCCTGCAGGCCCACTTCGGGGGGCCCTTCTCGAGCCCGGCTCGCGGCAGGGGGCTGCTGAGGGGCTCTCCCGGCCTCAGCCCGCGGCAGGGGGTGCTTTGGAGGGGGCCAGGCCCGCCTTCACTTCCTCACTTTGCTAGCGGGTCTGTGAGGGTAAAGATGAGAGAAGACTGGGGGCGGGGGTAGGGAGGGGTTGTCCACAAGCCAAGGAAGGAAAGAGTTTTGTGGGTTTTTTTGCCCAGTGGAGAAGCCTGTGAAGGAGCTTGGGGTGCTTGGAAGGGAGTCTGTGTGTGGCCTCAGCCCCTTACTTGACTGAATCCCAGAGAGGCGACTTGTCTGAGGTCACCCAGGACTTCAGTTCTTCCACTGGGATCTGCGGCCTTCTGTACCCAAGGCCAGCCCGTGAGCCGCTCTCCTCCTCTCTCGGCCCCTTCCCAGGCTCGAGCTCCAGTGTAAGAGTTACAGCGGGGAGGGGAGATGTGGTCATGCGGCTGAGCTCCCTCTGCTCTCCAGCGTGCTTGGAGGCGGGCCCTGGGCTCTGCCCCTCATTGCCTGGTCCTCCTTCATCACTGATGATGCCCGGCGTGGTGGAGAGAGGTCCACAAGCCTGGGCTGATCAGGCTCCGCGCCCCTGCACAGAGCTGGGTCCTGGGGCCGGGCTGGAGGAATTGAGGTGTCTGGGTCAGCAGGGCCTTTGTTTACACCCGAGGCAGCTGGGCCCGGAGTCCAGCTGGGTGAGCAGGGCAGGGCATGTTGCCTCTCTTTGGGCCTCAGTTTCCTCATTTGCAAATCCCCTTTGTTGTGATGTGGTTGTCAACTGCAGGGGGCACTGTCGGGTTCCCAACTTCTTGCCCTCACCCACATCTTCCTCTTACGTAGGCTGTGGAGCATCGCATTAGAGAGGAGCAGCAGATGATGGATGAGAAAATCGTGCTGGAATTGGACCAGAAAGTGGTGGATCAGCAGAGCACCCTGGAGAAAGCCGGCGTCACAGGCTTTTATGTCACCACGAACCCCCAGGTCAGGGCCGAGGGGCGGGCTTTGGGCGGGCCTCCTCTCTTCTTAGGGGCACGTTGCTTGCCTTCAGCCTCTGCTGTCTCCTTTTCACCAGGAGAGACAACACGGCAGAGTGCCAAGGCCTGGGTTTGAATCCTGCCTCTGCCCTTGCCTGGTACTGTAACCTGGGACTGAGGGCCTCGTGTCTCTAGCACCTTCAGGAAGAGGGCAGAGGCAGCTGTTGGTGCAGTGGTTAGCTCACTGGGCCCAGACATTTCTCTTTATGCACTGTAAGGGCCCCGAGAGCAGAGAGGCGGGAGGCTGGAGGCTTGGTTCATCCTCGGGTCCGGCTCCTTAGAACAGGGCCTTCCTGGTGGATACTGGGTGCTTGAAATGTTGGTTGAGTTTGGGTATTGTCTTAGACTAGTGTGATGGCCTGGCTCCAGCACATGAATGAGGACAGTAATATTTGATATCTCTAGGTCATGGGTGAGTTTATAGGATGCTACTTTTTTTTTTTTCTAAGTAAAAATTGTATTGATGCTGTTTGAGGCAGCTGTGGATAGAGGCCAGTTGGGCCTGGAATCTGGAAGACCTGAGTTCAAATATGGCCTCTGCACTTAATAGTTGTGTGACCCTAAGCAAGTCACGTCACCTCTGTCTGCCTCAATTTCTCCAACTATAACGTGAAGGTAACGGCACCTAGTTTCTAGGGTAGTTGTGAGGATCAAATGAGATCCCATTTGTAGAGTGCTTGACACTGTGCCTGACACATAGTGAACAAGTTCACTCAATAAATCCTCCCTTCCTTCCTCCCTCCCTCCCTCCCTCCCTTCTTTCCTCCCTTTCTTCCTTTCTGTATTTTGACATAGCTTAGATGGGAGGTGTCAAGCTCCCTGTCCCCACCAGATTAAAACGTAATTGAAAATGTTTAACAAAATGAATATAAATGCAGCACAGCGCAGATGGTGTTAGTTTGTGCTCTTCTAAGCTGATGAAGGCCTCAGGAGTCCAGTCCCGTTGAGTTGGAGAACCCCGCCTCCCGTTTCTTCGTACCAAATCCTTGCCAGAAACTGGGTGTTCTTGGTCCCCCTGCTGGACACAGGAAGGGACTGTGGCCTAATGTCCGCCTTGACGTGCTGCTTGTTTCTCTCACTGACAGGAACTGACTCTGCAGATGAATTTACTGGAGCTGATTCGGAAACTGCAGCAGCGGGGATACCAGCCTGGAAAGCCCTTCCCCTGAGCGCGGCCCGGGCACCTGAACCGGCCTCAGTGGCCTCTCTGCCCGTCTCCCACCTCAGCAGGGATTCCTTGGCCTTTTCCTTCCAGGAGATGTCGGGCAGGCAGCTTCCTGGGGCAAGACCGCCTGCATTTCCTGGGGTGGGGGGTTTCCAGTTAAAATCTAAGCTTGGAGAGGGGCACCCCTGGTGACATCTTTCTGTGGTGGTCATCTTGGAAAGAGCCTCCAGCAGTGGCCTCTGGCCCCTTGACAGTGTTGGCAGCGAGGGGGCAGCTCTCATGGTGGCCTCCCTGCTGCTTCTGGTGCGCTAGAGCAAGGAAAGATGAGGGGAGTGGGCCATGTGGGCCTGGGTCTCTTGTCAGCGTCCTGCCCCTCAGAGGCCGGCCAGCCCTTTGTCGAGGCCTCTATTGTGGGGACGCTGGCTCCCCCCCCCAGCTCTCCTTGACCATCCAGAGCCGAGCCCAGCCCACTGCACACGGGAGTGCTGGGGCTGAATCTCTGCTCTGATAGCCTAGCTGTGTGACCTTGGCCAAGTCTTGTCCCTTGTTTCCTTATCTTTAAGATGGGCCTAGTTTTATTTTCATTGCCCACTGGAGAAGCAACTGAGGACAGAGAACCAGCATGAATCAGGATGACCAGGGTTCAGGGCCCCCCATCTTGGGCCAGATGTGTCTCAGTGCACGCCCCTCCCCAAATGCCCGACTGACACTCAGGACGCCAGTGTGAGCCTTGAGCCGGTAACTGATTTCAGAAGTCCCCTCCACCAAGGCAGACCCCTGGTGGACTCAGATGAGGCTGGGGCAACACAGTAGGGGCTGCCTTTCCTTTGAAGCTCTTTGCTCACACCCACCTTGGGAGGTCTGGCCTGGGAGTGTTGCTCTTTTTCTTGAGGGAGAAACAGACTTGGGTGAAGTGACTTGCCCCCAGGGTCGCACTTAGCCAGAGTCTGAGTCCTGGAGGGTTTGCCCAGGCCAGAGAAGGAAGGGCATTGGTGACCTGGGGCTCCTGGGCTTCTCCTGGTTGACCCTTCCCAGTATTTGTCCCCTCCCCCAGCCTGCTGGTTAGCAGAAGTCACCCCGCCCCCTTTGATCCAGCCCCTTGGCTAGTCCGCTTCTAATTAGTAACATAATTGACGTTGCTCATTAGTGTGGAGCTAACGTTGGAACTGCGCAGAGAAGGTTGGCCTGGCCCTGTGCTCGGGTGACACGCAAGCTTGTGAAATGTTCCACATTTTAAATATCTACTACATATGAATATACATATATATATATATATATATATATATACACATGTGTCTATTTGTGTATATATGTATATGTGTATATGTGTGTGTATATCTGTCTGTCTTGCCTTTCCCCTTCTTTTAGATTGTGAGTTTCGGGAGGGCAGGACCCGGGTCTTAGCACTCTTCCACCATGTGCTGTGTTTTTCAATGATTGTTTACTGAATAAATGGATGAATTTGAGTCATGGCCCGGGGCCCCTCACAGGGCCCAGCCAGCTGGTTGCCTGCCTGTCCTCTTGTCACCCCCCACGCTCTCAGCCTGGCCAGGGGAGGGGTCCCGGGTCCCAAAGGCTCCCACTGTCCGGATCTCCTTGGGTCACCGTCCAGCAGCCATTGGCCTTTTTCCCTGGGAGCCTTTGAAGGGGAAAGGACCCAGCCCTGGAACGCAGGCCTCCCTTCTGGTCACAAGTTCTGTGGCCAAGCCGTCGCTTTGGTTTTTTATTTTATCATTTATTTGTGAGGCAATTGGGGTTAAGTGACTTGCCCAGGGTCACACAGCTAGTAAGTGTCGACTGTCTGAGGCCGGATAGGAAGAACTCGAGTCCTCCTGACTCCTGGGCTGGTGCTCTATTCACTGTGCCACCTAGCTGGCCCACCTTTTGTTTTTTAAAAAATGAATGTAGCCATCAGCAAGACTAAACTACTTTTATGAAGTCATTACAAAATGTTACATGACCTCATTAAAAAATGATGCATTTTGGTTTTTACCTCCCAGGAAGCACTGCCCTCTTCCTCCTCCTGAGCACTGAAACTTTCACTCTGACAAAGAAAAATGGTTAAGGCACAGGCAGCCAGGGTGGTGACTGACAGCCAGCCTGCAGCCTTCTGTAGCCATAGTCCTCCCCTCGGCTGATACATAAGCCCTTGGGGGAGCTCGGCAGCCGGCAGCATTGGGTCCTCCAGGCAGCGCTGTCCTGTGATTTCACTGGCACCTGTTGCACCTGCGCTGAGCAGCCTGGGGCCGCAGTAAGTGATTCGGTCAGGCTCAGAGGTGGGTCTGTCCTGGCTGCGATGTGACGTTGCTCGTTGCCACCCAGGCCACTCACAGGGCGTTTGCCTGCTCTGCCATTTAAGTCACAGCTGTGGTCCAGGCCATGTTTTGTAGATACTAAGAGGTCCTGAGTTCAAATCTTGCCTTATCCACTTAGCGGTCACTGCACCCCTCTGCCTCAGTTTCTTCATCTGTAAAATGGGGATAATAGCAATCCTCCCAGAGTTGTGAGGATTAAATGAAGTAACAGGTGTAAAGTGCTTTGCAAACCTTCAGGTGCTCTGTAAATGCTAACTTCTTACCAAATATTTATTGGCTTGGCATCTCGCCCCTTCCAGCTTCTCCCCCTGCTGACCAACCCTCCCCTTACACCCACGAGGCTACAAGGGCGGTGGGCACACTCATTTCTCACGGCTGCCTTTAGCTCCTTGGCTCCCATCCCGCAGGGGCTTTCTCTTTTGAGGGCCCTGAAAGCCCCACAACCCATGGGTGAGGCTGTCAGCCTCCTGGTCACCCTGAGTGGTGGGCTTAGTCTTCTGTGGTTCCTGCCATCATCTGCGATGGGGACATCAGCTGCCTCACGAGGGTCCGCTCCTTGCAGTGCCCGCATCTACCTACCTCAGTGATGCCTCAAAGCCAGGCTCTGGGGGTAGTAGGGGTGGCAGGGCTGGGGCCTGCCACCGTGGGGTGTATTTTGGGGTGGGCACTCCTAAGGGCGCATTAGCACCAGGGATACTGCATCCCTGCCCCTCCCGTCCAGACACCAAAGGATGGGGGAGTGTCTGTGTGTGAAGGGGCTTCTGCTAGGGCTCAGCCCAGGGCAGGATCAGGGCTTGGAAGGTGCCTGGGATCGCAGGACTCAGCCTGGGAAGGTTCGAGGGCTCAGGCCAGGGGGGATTCGGGGCCCGCCCGGGCCTGGGTCAGAGCTCTGGCTCGCATGAGACTAACTTGAGCTTCTCCCGTCTCTCCCAGGAGGTGGCGCTGCCTCCCAGCTCCTGGCTGCTCCTGCCACCCCGCTAGGCGGAAGCCAAGTGCTTGCATCCCTCAGTGAGGAGCCAACTTGCTCACCGAGCCAGCCGAGAGCTCCCTCCACGCACATGCCATCCCACCTCAGCCCCTCTGAAGGACTGCCAACGGCAGGGGGAGGGGGCGGCCCTCAATCCTGTCCTCTTCTGTGTAGCGCACCCTGTCTCCATCACCCTCCCGCCTCCCCTCTGCTTCCAGCCACCAGTGCCTTTCCACGGAGGGAGGTGGCTGCAGTCCACCAGCACCATTCTTGTTCCTGTGATCTCCCCGCTTCCAGGCCCTTCCCTGACCTTGGAGACTTTAGGACCCGGCTTGGGTCCAGGCTGGCAGGGATGGCAGCCTGGCCTCCCAATTCCTGAGCAGTTTCAATGATCTTTCCCCTTACTCCCCGGAGCCCCACCCCATCCCAGCCATGTCTCAGACTCCTCGTCTCTGGACAGCAGTCCCTCCACAATTGTCCTCGCTCTCTCCCTCAAGCATCACCTACTCTGCCTCCACGGTACCGTCTCGTCCTTTGACTATTCCTGTCCTTTTAGTTCTGCTCTGCCTTGACTAATGTCCATGCCCAGCCTTGAACAGCGGCTCAGTGCCGTAAAAGCATTGGCTGCAAAGGGGAGGGCCTGGAGGGGTGATTCTGGGACCCTAGATGGCCCCTCTGGGAAAGAGGCAGGCTTCCAGACACCACGGTTCAATGTCCCCTGCGGTGCTGGGCCGCAGGATGCATCTCAGTGTTCAGGGTCTTAGTTTGGTACTGAGATTTTATGGGTAAGGTCAGGGTGAGGGTTCAGTCTGGTCGGTGATCAGGCTTCCGTCTATGGTCAAGGTTAGAATCAGGGCATTCTGGGATCAGGGTCAAGGCTTCATTTCTGCCCTTTATTTTCCATTCTCCCCCAATGGGTTTCTGTGTTCTCATTCCCCCACCTTGGAGGGAGCTTTCACAAAACCGGGAGGCTTTGTCTATGTGTCTATGTGGGCCTCAGTTTTCCTGTCTGTAAAAATAACACCCATCTAGTGTCCAGAGTCTCCAAGGCTCAAACTAATGGCAGATGGAAAGTGCCTGGAAATCTGAGTTCTCTTAGACAGAATACTTGTGCGCACACACACACACACACACACACACACACACACACACACACAAGAACATATGGAGACTCAGGAAGAGATATACAGATGCACAGACACATAGACATCCTGGTACATATGAAGACACCCAAACACGTAGATTTATTCAGACACACATGTATGGACACACACAAGAACATATGCTTACACACGCAGGCGCCCATGGAGTCATACACATGCAAACGGACACACACTTAGAAACCCAGACACAGACTCCGTCAGACATGCACAGACACACACAGACACGCACAGACACACACACCTCCAGGCACATACGTGCAGACTCAGAGAGGAACATAGTGACACCAAGAGGCACGCAGATCCCCCACCCCAGCATGCACTCTTGGCGTCTCTGACAAGAGGAGCAACCATGAGCAGATGAGCCCTAATGGCATCCACCCCAGGAGAATGTCAGAGCTAAAAATAACAACAGACACTTATTCACTACAGACATTCTTGTTCCCATTTTATGGGCAATGAAACTGAGGGCCGGGAAAACTAAGTGACTTGTCCAGGACCACACAGCAGCTAAGAGTTGGAGGAGGGTGTGAGCCCAGGCTTTCCTGACTCCAACTTCACCCCACTCTCCAATGCTCTATCCAATTCCTCCATTCCCTGAGGGGAAAAGGTTGGCTTAGGGTCAAGCAAACACTAGTGGCATGGCTGAGGCCTCACCCCCAGGCTCTTTGCACTGTTGGACACCGGGCCAGGCCTCCTGGCTCCCAGTACAGGCTGCTTAGCTCCTCTCCCCGCAGGTGAGTCTCCTCCCAGTTTCCAGGCCCCCCTCCACCCCCAAACAATACTCCAGGGAACCTCAGCCCTGGGCCAGGGAGGGAGGTGGCTGGCATGGACCCCAGGGCTGGAGGGGCTGGTCAGCACATGAGCTCGTGGCCAGAATGTGGAGCTGGGGACACCAGGGCGTGCTGCTTCCTCAGGCACTGAGGTCCACGTGTGCAATGGTCTGTGATTGTGTGACTTTGTGATTGGCTGTGGGGCTGGAGATGACACAGTCTATAGCCTCTGGCCCTGGCTCCACCTCCGTGTGTGTGTGTGTGTGTGTGTGTGTGTGTGTGTGTGTGTGTGTGT